ACAAAAAAGCTAGTAAAGGTTGAACAACAACTATCCTTAGGAAAGTGGAAATAATGTATTAATAAATATGAAAGCAGGCTAGGCATGGTGACTCACATCTGTAATCCCAGCACTTTGGGAGGCTGAGGCAGGCAGATCACCTGAGGTCAGGAGTTCCAGACCAGCCTGGCCAACATGGTGAAATCTTGTCTCTCCTACAAATACAAAAACTAGCCAGGCTTGGTTGTGCACTCCTGTAATTCCAGCTACTTGGGAGGCTGAGGCAGGAGAATCTCTTGAACCTGAGAGGCAGAGGTTGCAGTGAGCCAAGATCATGCCACTGCACTCCAACTGGGGCAACAGAGTGACACTCCATCTCAAAATAAATAAATAAGAAAGCAGAAACTAATAAATTAGAAAACAGAAACATAGAACTAATTTATAAATCAAAGCACTATGCCTTGAAAAGAGGGAGAAAAATTGTGAATTAAGGAAGGGAAGAGATGGTTGGAGAGGAGGTGGGAGAAGGCAGAGATAATTGAAGGAGCAAAAGCATCTGGAGAAGCAAAGCCACTGAAAGATGAACAGGGCTCTGAAAGAAATGCTTGATTGCTATCTTTTCAAATGACTGCAGTTCCCAGTGACATCATTTTTCTCCTCCCTGGAAGTCTGAGGGGCAGTTCACTTATCTCCTCCCCTCCCCTACTCCTCACCCCACACTCAAAACCTGTCTATGCTCCTTTCATTCTCATATGACAGATTTCAGATGGCATTCTTATTTCCCTGATTTCTTTTTGAGATAGCTTGCATTTCCCTCCTCTATATAAAGCCACCGTTTATCAAATGCCTACATGGACCAAGCAGTCCACAAGGGCTTCACAGACAGTTTTACTAAACTCATGCCAAAACTTTCAGGTTTTATACCTACCTTATAGATAAAGAAATTGAAGCTTATAGAGTTTAAGTAATGTTCCCAAAGCCTCGTGGCTAGTAATTCAAACCTAATTTCTGCCTACTCCAAAGTCTATTTTTCCTTATGATACTATACTGCCTCTCCATGGATAAAAACAGAGATCACATATTAATAAAATTTGCACAAAGTCGGCAAATTGTTGAAAGGGAAGGCTAAGATGATTAATAAAATCAAGAGCCAGATGATCTCAACAACCTGAAATAACTGGCTGACAACCAATTTGAATAACTCCCTGCGGGTGAAGTTCAAAGTACTATTTGGTTTTTTTTTAAAGTTTGGCTGGGTGCAGCAGCTCACGCCTGTAATCCAAGCACTTAGGGAAGCCAAGGTGGGCGGATCATGAAGTCAGGAGTTGAAGACCAGCCCGGTCAACATGGTGAAACCCCATCTCTACTAAAAATAAAAAATTAGCCGGGCCTGCTGGTGGATGCCTGTAGTCCCAGCTACTCGGGAGGCTAAGGCAGGAGAATCGCTTGAACCCAGGAGGTGGAGGTTGCAGGGAGCCGAGATCTCACCACTGCACTCCAGCCTGGGTGACAGAGCGAGATTCCGTCTCAAAAAGTAAAATAAAATAAAAAAAAATAAAAGTTTGATATATTCAGAATCAGGGAGGTCTGTTGGGTGCAGTTCATTTGAAAAATTCCTCAGCATTTTAGTGATCTGTATGGTCCCTCTATCTGTCAGGGTCCTAGCAGGAAATTGTTGCACTCTCAAAGGATTAAGCAGAAAGAGTTTAATGAAGGATCTCTTTCCAGGGTTAAGGGAACTGCTAGGGTTTGGATATTTGACCACTCCAAACTCATGTTGAAATGTGATCCCCATTGTTGGAGGTGGGGCCTAATGGGAGGTGTTTTGGTCCTGAGTGTGGACCTCTCACGAATGTCTTGGTGCCATCCAAGTGAGTTCTTGCTCGCTCTTTTTTTTCTTTTTGAGATGTAGTTTCACTCTTGCTGCCCAGGTTGGAATGTAGTGGTGCGATCTTGGCTCACTGCAACATCCACCTCACAGGTTCAACCCATTCTCCTGTGTCAGCCTCCAGAGTAGCTAGGATTACAGGTGCCCACCACTATGCCCAGCTAATTTTTGGTATTTTTAGTAGAGACGGGGTTTCACCATGTTGGCCAGGCTGGTCTCAAACTCCTGACCTCAGGTGATCCACCTGCCTCAGCCTCCCAAAGTGCTGGGATTACAGGCGTGAGCCACCGTGCCTACCTAGTTCTAGCTCTCTTAATTCCCACAAGAGCTGGTTGTTAACAAGAGCCTGGCACAAACCCCTCTCTCTTGCCACGTGATCTCTGCACATGCCAGCTTCCCTTCTCCTTCTGCCATGAGTGGAAACAGCCTAACGCCCTCACCAGAAGCAAATGGTGGTACCATGCTTCTTGCACACCTTCAGAACTGTGAGCCAAATAAACCTCTCTTCTTTAAAATTATTCAGCCTCTGGTATTCCTTTATAACACACACACACACACACACACACACACACGCGCGCGCAAAAGCAGACTAAAACAGGAACTAATTAGAAATGGTGATGCA